TGCTTCCACAATATCTTGTGGCAATGAGTTCCACACTGTAATGAGATGATGCGTGAAAAAGAACTTCCTTTTGTTAGTTTTAAACATACTACCTACCAGTTTCATTTTGTGACCACTAGTTCTTGTACTGTGAGATAGTAAAAAATAAATTCCTATTTACTTTCTCTTCACCATTATTTTTCAAACTCTTATCTTGTTCCCACTCAAGCGTCTCTTTTCTAAACCAAACAGGCCTAACCTCTCGAGTCTCTCCTCATATGGAAGCCCCTCCATACCATTAATCATCCTTTTCTGTACCATCCTAGCTCTATCATCTTGTTCAGATGTGGGGACCAGAACCGGGCACAGTGAATCTTTATCTTCTATTGGCTCAGCACCTCACAGAGCAGAGGCCAGGCCTCAGTTGGTCCCTAGGCATGGCCGTAAGAAACTGACATTGATATGAATTGAGAGACAGCGAAATAGGATCATAAGAAAGCAGGGCTGGAAGAGACACAAGGCTATCTAGTTCAGCTCCCTATTCAAGGTAGGATCATCCCTCACTTAACAATTCTAGCCAAGGGTCTGTCCAACCTGTTCTTGAAAATATCCAGCAATGAAATTCCACAGCTTCTCTAGGTAGCCTGTTCCAAAACATGACTACCCTGAGTCAAATAATAAGTTGGTTTTTATTTCCAGATGAGAAAGATGCATGTTCAAACATGGAGCTGTTTGACTCCTTTGAGACCGGTATAGACACAAGAGATCTAGGCACAGACCTCCCTTTATCCAGCCTATACTGGGGGACTCTGCTCTGTGGCATGGCTGAAGCCAAGGATGGAATCACAATCGATTTATAGAGGGTCATGGTGGTACTTTCAGTTTTGTTAACAATTCTCTTGATGATCCCTAACATTTTGTTTGCCTTTCTGACAGCTGCTGAGCACTGAGCTGATGTTTTTAGTAAACTGTACATAATAATTCCTAAATCTCTTTCCTGCCTGATAACAGGTAATGTAGAGCCCATCATAGTGTAAATATAATTTGGATTATTTTTGCCCAGGTGGATCACTTTACACTTTTCTGCATTGAATTTCATCTGCCATTTAGTTGCCTACTCACTCAATAGTGCCAGATCCTTCTGTAGTTTCTCACAGTGTACCTCGGTCTTTACCATTTTGAACAATTTTGTGTCATCCGCTAATTTGGCCACCTCACTACTCACCTTTTTTCCATATCATTTATGAATATGTTAAACAGCACTGGTCCCAACACAAATCCCTGGGGGACCCCACTATTTACTTCTTTCTGTCCTGAAAACTGACCATTTATACTCACTCTTTTTCTATCTTGAAGCTAGTTTCTAATCCATTCAAACTGACAGCATTCATGTAAATGACAACTGCGATAACAAAGGCTCTGATTCTACAAGGTGCTTGAGGATGGCCCTGATTTGGGTATTAGCACGTGGACCAACAAGGTGTTTTCTATACAGTAAAGTGGAGCAAACATATGACACAGTCCTATCACAGAGTAAACTACTTGCATTCAGAAAAAAATTTAGCCCTTAAAAAAGGGATAGTAAATTTTCCACATAGGAAAATTACAGTGTAGAATGTCTCTGTGTCCACTCCCCTAGTCATTTTACTGTTTGCTCTATGCGGACCAGCTCCCCTATCTCTGGGCAGGTATTATATTAGTACCTAATGTGGGCATTTAGCTAGGAAGTACGGATATGTATCCAATCCTTGCTATGGAGTAAATGTACATGGAGTAAAATCTGTAATAAATCTTTCTGTTGCGATTGTGTTGTGTGTCCATTCCCTTAACAGCAGGAAAGACGCTAAAGAGACAGTCCTATACAAAGGTCCTTATGCAAACATACTTATTTGTATACATACTCAAGCTTGGCAATTCAGATGATCACAGGTAACTGAATTCCACACATCAGGAGTATCAAACTAAAGTCAGTTGGTGGACAAATATGCCCTGCCAGCAGCTAGGAGCAAGCCATACTCCCTGCCAGAACCACTTGTTGACATGGTCAGCACCCACAGGGTTAATGCCACCACTGCTCATGCCCCTTCTTCCACCCCTGACTGCCACCAAATTTTGACTCAAAAAACAAATTCAAAGGTAGGCAAAGGGGACTAGGTAGTGGTGGTTAATGCCATCTGGGTGCTGGTTCATGCTAACATGGTGGCTCTGGCAGGTGCAGTGGGAAGTAGGGCTGTGCAAAGCTTTGGTCGATTTGATTCGGAGATTTGGCCCGATTCGGCAGCCAAAACTCCAAATCCGAATAGAATCAGGAGACCAATTAAAAGGTCCAAATCAAATTGGAAAAGATTCAGCGCAGATTCAGAAATTTGGCCATAGATTAAACAGGCAGCAGTCCTCACCACGCTGGACACATCTGTCTTCAGCTGGTAAGTCTGTTGTGGTGGGTGGAGGGAAGGGGTATGGTGGGGGGCAGATCAGACAGAAAGGGAGGGATTGGGGCTGGGACAAGCTGCCCAGCTGGAGTGGTGAGGCGTGGGACTCGGGGAGGCGGGCTCCTGCCACAGCACACCTCTGCGTGCTGCCGATTCGGGAGGGCATGGGAGCAGGTGTGTGCCCCGGACCTGTGTGGGGTGGGCTGGGACAGGCTGTACTCTGGACGGGCGGTGGAAGGTGCTGGAAGTGGGAGCTATGCTCTCCTGCCGCTCACCCAGCCTCCCCACGCCCCCCGGACAAGCCATGGCTTCATCCCGGCTGGGCGAGCAGTGGCAGGCCATAGCAGCAAGCACGTGCACCTGGATTGGGGAGGGGCCAGCAGCAGGGGCTATGGGGAATTTTAGGGTGGCTGCATCCCCTCATAGCCCCCGCTCCACTGTGCTCTGCCGGGTGGGCAGAGCCAGGGCTGGAAATCTGCACCCCCCACTTCCCTCCGCCCACCACAGCAGACTTACCAGCTGGAGGCAGATGTGTCCAGCATGGTGAGGACTGCTGCCTGCTTAGTCTATGGCCGAATCTCTGAACTGGCGCCAAATCTTCAGATCCAAATGGGCGAGATCAAATCAGGATAGTGATTCGAATCACTGAATCAAATCACTGTCCCTCTGAATCAGCCGAATCCACAGCAAATACTTGCCACTTCGCACAAGCCTAGTGGGAAGCCCTGTAGGCTAGAAGACCCACATTCATGAAACCCCACAGGCCACATGATCCACCTCTGAGCATTAGATCCAGCTTGTGGGTTTGATGTTTGACATGACTGCCATAAACTGACTGCCATAAACAATAATGACTTGTGTAAACTAGATGAACTACAGCTCTGGAAACTAAGTTTTGATTTAATAATGTTTGTAGTTCTAAAATCTCAGCCCTAATGTTGTATTAATCTTCCTGGTTTTTTTTCCTTTTCTTTTAAGATAAGATCTTTTATTTGAAGGTACAATTAATAATTATATTGGTTTATCATAAAGTTCAACCAGCTGAACAAATATAGCTCTACTTATTTCACGTTAGTGACATCACATTAGTGTGCTACTGAAAAGTTAGTAAAACCATGGAAGACACTGGACTTGACTGTGAAGTAAAATCCATACCAGTCTGAAGTGGTAAAAAGAATCTACTTAGTCACCTGAGTTACAATTAACAACAAAAATTCATTTCTCAAAGAGGCTACCTGAAACTTTTCAAAATATTCCCTCAAAACTTTCACCTTACAGTTTATTATACACATCACAAATTTTAGTTTAAAGGAGTATGGCATTCCATACCTGAAATTAGATACTCACAAAAAGAGGCATCTTCCTAGCCAAAAAAACACTAAAGTAAATTAATTTTTATCGTTTTTGTTCAGTGGACCAAATTAAATTTTTCTGAATTTCTTTTTCTTTCTTTCTTCCTTTTCTTCAGGATATCCCTATTTAAAGAGTTCAGTACAAGGACCATGATGTACTGTATTAGATCACAAGAGTTTATTCTGAGGTTATAGATCTTTTTTTTAATCAGACATTCATTCTATACCAGTATCAGTAATTCTCTCTTTACCCATGTTTATCTTTGCTGTTCCAGAATATGTGACTACTTAATGTCTTAATTTTTGCTCTTGCATATCATCATTTTGTAACTGCACTTACCTTTTAAAACCCCAGCTCTTCCTAAAAAAGGACTCATATCATGTAATTATAATACCTAGCATATTTTGCCTACATTCCTAATACTTTTGGTGTTGCACAAACCCAAATATACTGTATTTTCTCACCTAGAACCCACACTTTTTCCAAAAACAATCTGCTGAAAGTGTGGGTGAACGCTATGGCAAGGAAACATGGTAATGCTGTTTAGCTGCCAGCAAATGCAGAAAGCAGTGAGCAGGGTACTAGCCCTGTGTGTCCCTTGTGGAACCCACACCAACAGAGCTACTGTGGGCAGTCTATCCAGAGCTGGAACTGCAGATGACCCAGAGCAGCCCCCAACACCAAGCTGCTGCTGGGTCACAAAAGCCTGGGTCAGTCAGAGAGCCCTGACTGAAGTAGGTACGCCTCTGCCCGCCAACCTCCTCCAGCAGTCACGTGACAACATATGCCCCACTCCCTCCTCCATCCCATTCTGCCTAGGGCATCAGATAAGGTTGCTTCACCTCTGTCCCTGCCCTTTCACAGCTATTCCTGCTGCTGTCAGGAAGAGTCTGCCAATGAAGGAGTAGCAGTGCTTAGGGAATTAATGGAGCAGTGACAGCCTCCCCCACTCCGTTGCAGCTGCCAGTGTCTCACTACTAGCTGCAACAGGCTGGCTTCTGTTGTAGAGACATGCCACAATATTACCATGAGGGATGTGAGGTACATGTGTGCCTGCAAGTAGTTTTTTGCATTTTGTAACCTGCTCTGTGTAAGGTATTTTGCATTTTATAATTTATTATATTAAATTACTTGTTGGTATTTTCAAGGGAATATCTCCTTTTTCTTCATTCTGCCTTCCCAAAACATGGAGCATTTTATATTTGGGGGCTTGTTATATGCAAGAAAATACGGTACCTGGTTGAATGGGGCACGAGGCCCATCACCCAGCAGGGGAGTTTTCTGCTGCTGGAACGGTAGTGGGCCTTGGGAAGGATGTGGCCCCCTTGAAGGATTCTGCTGTCCCTGAGGTCCTGGTGGCCCTTGCATGCTTCCTTGAGGACCTACTAAAGCACCCTGTGGAGGTCCCTGCTGGCTTTGTGCACCTGGTGGCCCACGTAATTCCTGCGGAGGTCCTAACATTGCACCTTGAGGTGGGGGTCCCTGCAGGCCCCTCATCTCCTGGGGACCATGTCCTAGTAAACCACCTTGCATATGAGGTCCTCTCATTTCTTGTGGATGACCCATCATCATCCCTTGTGGAGCAGGTCCTTGATTATCTCGGGGCCCTGGTGGACCCTGCATCCCTCTTGGGTTAAGTCCCATCAATGGCCCTTGAGATATAGGACCCTGCATCCCTTGAGATCCTGGAGCTCCTTGCATTCCATGAGGAAGAGGAGGTCCTTGCATTCCTCGTGGACCTGGTGGCCCCTGCATTCCTTGACCACCAGGGGGACCTTGAGGACCTAAGTGCCCTTGTGGACCAGGTGGGCCTTGTGGTCCCAAATGAGTCTGAGACCCAGGTGGGCCTTGTGGTCCTAAGTGCCCTTGTGGGCCAGAATTACCCTGTGGGCCTGGTGGCCCTTGAGGCCCCATTGGCCCATGGGGGCCAGGATGTCTCTGCATTCCTTGATGCCCATGTAAATCCTGAGGCCTTGTCAGTCCTTGTGGTGGTCCCTGAGGTCCTTGTGGTCCCATGAACCCCTGTGGACCTGAAGCTCCTTGGTGTAGTGGAGGACCTTGAGGCCCCATTTGCCCTTGCGGTCCTGGAGGTCTGAACTGTCCTTGTGGACCAGGGGGTCCCATTTGAGGCATATTCATTGGCATCTGTTGAGGTGGAAGGGGCTGCTGAAATCCTTGAGGCATCTGTGACATTGGGCCTTGTCCTGGGAAAGGCTGGGGTCCATGCATAGAGCCTCCGGGAGGTGGTGGCTGCGGCACTTGCTCAGTTTGCTTCTGTGCAAGTCTTTCAATTTTCAGTTGCTGTCAGAAAACAAAAAGCAGTTTTTTAATAGGCTGCATGCACACATGCATAAGGAATTACTGGAAACCAGAAATTACTCTCTCATTCTCAAGGACTAGCAAACTTTGCAAAGATTTAATGCTCTTGACTTGAACGTTAAATAGAAATGCAACTGAGAAGGACTGGAAATCAAAATGATTCAGTTAATAGAAATGTTGACTCATTGCCACTGATGTCACATTAAGTCCATGCATTGGTCAATGAGACAACTTCTGTGGAGATCTAGGAAGCACTTTTGCAAAAAACAGCCTTTCTGCTTTGTAGTCAGGTTCAGAAAGATACTTAACATAAATACACTTTGCTATTATTTGCTACAGTTCAATTTTCTTTACAAACCTCCAAGAGCTGTGGGTTGGTGTACTGAAGGGCTGCCATTTCCTGCTCAATCTCCGCCTGTGTCTTCTTTTTCTCCTCCAGTTTGATATCATCCTTTCTGTCATTCAGTGGCTCTGGCGGGGCAGGAAGAGGGACCTTATTCTGCATCCAGGCCTAGAGAGGACAGTGATTGCATAAGATCCAGATACTTAGGGTGATATACATTGAACAAGGCCATGGACAGCATTACTGGAAAAAGATGTTCTGAAACTAGACGGACTAAGATATATTAGGGATGTTTTGTTCTCATTCAGATACTTAGCTGATAAGACTGGATAGGGATGGAACATTTCCATTACATTAATTTAGATGCTAACCTGGGATGAGCAAGGTCTTAGTCAACTACTTGAATCTAGAGGTGCACCGATACTTCGGTCTGATATCAGATCAGTACTGATATAAAGAAAATTGGCGGTATCAGAAATCGGCCTGATGCAGCCAACAGTTTGGCTGATAAATGCTCATGTGTGTGCGCAGTCACAGTGCAGCATGCAGGCAGCGAAAAGGAGAGTCTGGCAGCATGGACAGCTATGTGCAGCTGGTAAGTCTGGTATGGGGGAAGGGGAGGAGGAGGGAAGGGGTATGGGGGGTGCAGATCAACGCCCCCCGTGGTGTAGGAGGGGGCAGGCACTGCCCAGGCCGGTCGGGGCGGGGATGGAGCTTCGGCTCAATGTGGGGAGAGGGGGTGGCTCCTGCCACTGCTTGCACTCTGGGACAGCATGGGGGGGGGGGGCCCCTGGATCTGCACGGG